AAGACAAAGGTGTGTGAGTAGTTATCACTGACCTTAACAAAGAATAAATATAGAATGATGTACAGTATTTTTACCCCTCTTGTAAAGTGATCTGTTTAGGAGATGAACCACTTCGAGAAGAGGCAGAAGGATGACTTTGAGCGCTCCATTGATGTCCAACATTCATCAGCTGTACGGCCCACAGCCAATATGGTCTATTATTTTCTCTCTCTTTGCTCTGATTTCTTCGTTGCATTGTTTATTGCCACTGAACAGAAAAACAGAAGCTCTCCGAGGCTCTCTATTAATGTGTACAGTATGTCTCCTGGCCTGCCGCCGTTTATTGTTGATGGAGTTAACCAACGGTAACAGAACAATAAATATATGTTTTTATAAATACACTTCTTGCCATCGTCTTATTGCTGTTATGATACGCTTGATTGTTTCCCTCCAGTAGAGAAAAAGAAGAATGAATCGATGCTGGACAGACTGTAAAACAAAGGAGCTTAGATGAAACGGTGAAAAGATGGAACTACTGTTACTCTAAAGTAAACCGTGTATTTCACACTCCTTATGTACAACCACAATTCCCAAAAAAAACCTTCTTGGAGTCCCAATTTGTCACTCTTAAAGCATCATGAAGTGTAAAATATAACTATGGATCATGTTTCAACATGTTGTTTTTGAACTGTTTTTTTCACTGAATTAAATCCAGTAAATTTAGTGAAACAATTTTTTCTACTCCTTTTCAAACTGAGCTTGCAATGCAGCGTCACTGAACCAAACTCAAGCCTCGGGCTGATAATGAACCTTTAAATTATTTACAGTGACCATGCTAAAACTGGGAACATATTCATCATTTCAGGAGGTTTGAACATCAACCAAATCCCTGTGACTGTTTTAATCTTTAAAGTCTGCAATCTTCAATCGTTCTTTTTTCTCTTTGTAAGTTTTGCAAGCCCTACAGTATGTTTCTTTGCTGATGTTTCTCAGGGTGTTTGATAGTAGTGGAGATAAAAAGATCCCTTCAATTTCTCTCAGAGTGAAGAGTTATTATAAGATATTGATTGAAGTCTAATGTTGCTTTAAGAATCAATCACAGAGATTTTTTCACAATATTAGATTGAAGGATTTAAAGACTCTCTCTGAATTAATTAAATTGCCTTCTGTCAACTTCTCCCAGCTCACTATTCACGAGCATCCTAAAGTAAATGGTATGAACCTCTTCTGAATGATCCATGTGAAGAAAATCGCTATTTATAAAACATTTCCCTGAATAATTCTCTACAATACTCTTCCTCTCGTAATTAAAAATGTCCTTGTTTCTGTCTTCTGTCTTTAAGAGAAAGTTACTGCATGAACTAACCAGGGGAAAAATTAAAATTTTGTAACATCTGTGAGTCATACACAGATAGCTAACATCAATACAGGAGTACCACCACCAGATGGAGACATTTCAAAAGGAAAAGTTAACCTAGTATGCATTATCCTCCTGCTGTGAAGCCACTTAAGCTGATTTTTATAGGCTTTGCTTTGACTTCAATTTATGCCAAATTTTCTTCAGTGTGACTAAAAGCTGAGAAAATATGCTGTGGGAATTTTGCAGGATGAACAGAAGGAAAAAATGTTCTTTAGAGGGTCTTACAAGGATTTGCCACTGATGAAACTGTCATACAGCTAAAGCAAAATTGGCAAGAGGATCCCGTCTAGACTGAGATTACTCTCTTATATTACATGATGTTTTTACTCATCATTTTGGCAACTGAATGTGCAGAAAGATGAAATTATTTCAATCCATCCTCATGTGTCATATTGTAAATGAAACTACATCAGATGTTTGTTTTTCAATTTATTCCATGTGATAAGTCCTTCAGGGTTCAGTTTACATCACATAGCACGAGTGCGGTTCCCTTTTAAAAGTGAAAAACAATTAGGACAGCACTCCAAATTTATATTTTTAATTGCCACAGGAGCGTTTCAAGCAGACGCTCTTCTTCAGCGTGTAACAGGCAATTTTCCTTGGAATTGTTTTCTTGTTTGAACATTTTTGGGGATTCAGCACCCAGTTGTTTTACATCAAAAGGGAGTTGATGTTTTCTCTATCATTATCCCTCTTAAAGGTAACAGAGGTTTGTTTGATGTGACTGCACTGCTGACGGTTTGTAACTGATCATCATGTTCTGATTGGTTGTCGGTCTTCAACCAGCATATGATGCCAACGCTGCAAACAAGAACATGGCCACCAAACAAGTCACAAAGATCCTCCATAGACAGGATTAGAGGTAAAAGCATAACATATCAAAGAATTACCAGAGCGCATCATATGCTGCAGTCTTCCTCTTAATCGCTTAATAAACCAGATATGAACATGTGTTTACGTCATGAAATATGTTTTTTCTACTCAATGAAAACTTATAACAATGAGCATTTACAGTTTAGCTGTGGCTCTCTTTCAGGACCTGCTGGAATTCTCTCTGCATTGGTTTGAAATCCGTTGCATTAAGCTGTGGTATAAGTACTCCATGCAGGCAATAACAATCCTATTCATCAGTCTGGATGCAGAGGGATGCTCCAGTGGGTTTATTACCTGTAATGTGAGTCATTGTTTAATCAATAATATGGTAGAGTGAAGTCAGAGAGAAGGCCACATTTGGTGTCAGGGCACATCACAACATACATACCAGGGGAGTGTAGGGGGTCCTCGGCGAGCAACAGGAAATAATAAAGAGCATTTGTCACTTTATTTAAAGTAAGACAGTAGATCTGCCCCATGAGAAATGCAAAGAAAGCAATATATCAGGAATCTACTGAAGGAGAATATCAATACTGAAAGCATAAAAACCACATTTTTTTTCTTTCTTGCAGGTTGTATTGCAGGTTCTTCTCTTTGAGGTTACAAAAGGAGGTAAATGCTGGACGGAATATAATTGAACCATCAATCAATCAATTTTAATTTGTTTAGTGTCAACTCATAACAAGTGTTATCTCGAGACACTTTACAAAAAGCAGGTAAAAGACCTTACTCTTTGTCTGTTAACATTACAAAAGAGCAGGTAAAAAGACCATACTCATTGTTATATTACAAAGACCCGGCCTATCCATCAACAAAACAATGGCGAGGTGAAGATAGTGTCTGCCTCAGACATAAAAAGTAATGCAATTTGAGGCCACCAAGCGACTCATGAGCATTGTTAGTGCTGCTTTGCCACCTTTAGAAAAATAAGTGTTTACAGGGCTGTACACACGATCTACTTCCTTGCATCGTGCGACAGGGTAGTGTTGTCTCACATGCAACACTTTTGACTTGCTCACAATGTTTGGCAGCTTTTTCTTCTTTTTTTATAGCCGACAAATGTCCTTAGAACAGATACATGTTTTAGACTCTATTATGGGACGTGTTGGCTTATGTACTGGATCAGATGTAAACAGGTTGGAAGGGATTAATTAAGATGAAGTCGATGTATTTGTTTTGTTTGTATTGATGTATTGTGTCTTGTGTTGTGGGCTCTGTGTTTGTATTGGTTGTACATCTTACCTCTTGGAGTGTTTGGGGAATGGTTCATGTCAATGGTGCTGCTGTGTTGTTGGCTAAATGACATGCTGGAACATTTGATTGACTCTCAGCTAATGTGTCAGAATAAGTTAATGTGGGATGGGTGTTGTATATGACCTGACATTTAAATAAAATCATTCATTCATTAATTTATGGCCAATATGTTGTCATGATTAGCTGTAGTTTCTTACTCACTTCCAGCATGGCGTATCCTGTTGAATTTACTATCATTAAGTGGGTGAAAGACTCCACAGATGTCATATTGCAGGCTTGATACATGCACGTTAAGTATTGTCAGCATGGAGTTTGATATTAGAAACTATTTAAGCAAACTGAAAAGCTTTGTAAACATACATAAAGAGATTTATTCTTGAGCAGCTGTTAAGTGCTAACATTGAGCAATCAAATGGCAGAAATCCACTTCTGCATTTCCTGTTTAACTACAGTGACTTTCATTGAGTTAGCACTCTTACTCCAACAATGGTTATTTAAAAGTCAAAGCTCTATTTAAGTGTCAAAGGTTGCATTCTAGAGGACACACTTCTGTTTTTTTTGTCTCAAAGTTGCTGCATGGTTATAAGGTTGTGACAGTTTTTTTCTGTCCAAAAATAATATCATATTTGCACCCTACATCGGACTACATCAAGTTTTCTCCACTAGAAAATATGTGTTATCGTGGACTTAATCATGTTTTCTCCACTGGAGGGGTTCAGTTGAGGTCACTGCATTTCATTTTTGTCCACTGGAAGTGCACGTTAGTGGTTAAGTGATTGTGTTTTCTCCACTGCAGGGCACCCTAGAGGGCACTGTATTATACTTCTATCCATGTATGGCATGGTAGATGGCACTAAATTGTGTTTTCTCCACTCAAAAAAAACAAAACACAATTTAACACTTAATCACTTTTCCTCACTGCAGTGACACCAAGCATGATATTTTCTGCACTGGAAGGTAATCCTTTATGGCACTGCATAATACTTTCTTCACTGATAGAGGACTGCTTTGTATTTTTTTTCTATTTCTTCTACATTGGGCCACTAGAAAGGGAAAATCATTGTGTTTTATTTACCATTGGAGCATGCGAGAGAAACATTTTTTATTGCAACTCAAGGAAACTTTCCACCATGAGTGAGTCCTGTACTCAGCTAGGCAGCATAAGACGCCAAATAAAGGAAAAACTATTTTCATGAAATGTTTAAAACACGTCACAGACATTAGCCAGTTAAGATAAAGCGATGTAAAAATTGGTTCCAGCTTCCTTTATTAAATATTGATTATACATTTTAAATAATTGCTTTAATAATGGACAATAAAACATTCATTTATAGAGCAGTTATCATTATGAGAATGTTACCAAAGTTGTGAAATTAACTTCAGCCCACAACTTTATTTGATTGTACTGATCTAGAAAGTAATTTAGGAGTAATTTATGTAACCTTTCATTTGATGCCATATAGGAAATGTCAGGATGAATAAAGGTAAGTGTTTCTCTAACAGAGGTGTCATCACTTCACCCTGCCCACCTCCAGCAGACAGTTATGTAATTTCACACTGAATCATCCCCATGAGCTGAGATGATGGTAAAGAAGGGAGGAGGAGGAGGATAAAGAGGAGGAGGTGAGGTTTGTTCTTGGGACAGAAATCAGTCAGTTTGGGGGGTCAGGAGGGATTTGTGGGCGTCAGGCTGAGGATGGATGATGAGGAAGACTTGAAAAGTTTGCATGTCCCTGAAGTACACTGACACATCTTCCCATTCACAGTCTCCCCCCTGAGCATCCGTTGCATAACACCAGTCTCTCTCTCTCTCTCGCTCTCTCTGTGTGTGTGTGTGTGTGTGTGTGTGTGTGTGTGTGTGTGTGTGTCTGTGTGTGTGAGAGAGAGAGAGAGAGAGAGAGAGTGTGTGTGTGTGTGTGCAGCAGGCAGGTCCTCCTCAGTGCTGCTGTGGAGCCTCGCAGGAGGAGGCGGTGGTCTTGTTATTGAGCGGCCCGGCGGTGGAAGTTTCACTGCAGGGGTGGGACTTTCTTTCTGCAGTCGGTGGAAGAAGGTTCATCTGCGGCTCTTACAGAAATGCCTCCTGCAGCAGGTTTCCAGACTCCAGCGAACAGCAGCACACAGAGACGGACACCTCCGAGTGCAACATAACCCACCCCCCCTCCTCCTCCTCCTCCTATTGCTCTTCTTCTTCTTCTTCTTCTTCTTCACCCCTCTGCTCCTCATCCTCCTTCAGCTGGCCGCGTCTCAGAGCTTTCGGATGATTTGAATCGGGAGGAGTGTGAACGCCGTTGCTCTCCCCTCCTACACCCTCCCCTCCCGCCTCCCCCCTCTCCCCCCACTCCCCCCACCCCCGGTTACACAGACTGGACCGGCACCGGTGTCATTGGATGGAGAGAGGCGCCTGAAGAAGGGAGAGCGGTGGAGTTGCTCTACCCCCCACCCTCTCCTCCTCTTTCTTCCCTATACTGCACCAAAAGAAAAGTCCGGGTAAGAAATGCGTGCACACTCAGGCCATTTGGCCCCATTCGACCACCTGCGCTCCTGCACTCCTCTGTGCACAACACACAGCATACATCATGGCGAGACTCGGGACTTGCATGCGTCTTTTTTTCCCCCCCCTCTGCTTCTTTGTTTACAATGAGGGGATTATTTTAAAGCGTGTGAGGGTTTAGTGCGCTTGTGAATGCATCCCAGCAGGCGGGATGGCAGCCTGCTCTGGCACGGCATTTCCGCGACTCTGCTCTTTTCACTCAGTCGACCCAAATATTGATTCCCATTGCAAGCGGACTCGGAGTAGAAGCAGGTTATTGGCTGAGGTAGTGAGTCGATGCGCACGGCAGCCCTGAGCGGCTGCAGGGGTTAAAGGAGGGATAACAAATGGCACCCCGAGCAGCAGGAGCTGTCCGTTCAGTAACACACTGCTGAAGTGGAGTGCAACCCAAAACTGTAGAAAAAAAAATACAACTTATTGCAGGTTTGAGGAGCAGCATTCGGCATTTGTTGTACAGTGCAGAATAGTTAGTTAGAGTTTTTCAGTTTTTGTATGTTATATGCTTCACATGAGTTGTCTAAGGGCTGACAAGGCAAATCTTTGATTCCTTGGATTACATAACAGTTGATTTGATATGACTGTAATCTTCAATTTGCTTTCCAAAGTTTTGGTATTAATACCAAACTGATTGCATATTTATTTCCCCTGATACCTTCGTCTCACTATTTCACAGATTCAATTGGATCCAAACACAAATCTCTTTGAAAGACGTTCGCCTAAATGAAATTCAGTCATAAAGTGCAGTATGTTACGGAAGTTGAAAGAAGATTGAGATTATGAGCATGAAGTGTCATCCGTTGTCACTTGTGACAAAGTTCTTTAACTGCTCAGACAGTGCAAGCAGTCTGGAGCTTTTCTACTATCACTGTCAATTTCGAAAAAACAAAACAACGGGCTTTATGATCTCTTAAATCCACTTCAGGGTTTGTAACATCTAACTCAACAACTGATGGTTGCAGTTCTTTGTCATAGTGCTCTTACCGTTTTAGAAAATCATTGAAAGCATAACTTTTGCTCATGAAATAGTGGGCACTTTCAAGGCTTCAGGTGACTAAAATGTATTCAAATGAAAAAAATCTAAAAGATAACTTCACTCTTTGGTTGATTCCAACTCTCTTTCATGACGTCAAACAGTCACAAGATAGAGCAGCCTGGTCTCAGCCTCTCACTGAGAAGGGAATTAGGATGAGACAGATGTTTTTGATGTCCCTTTTAGCTCGTGTAAATACTTTTCAGTTATGTACGTTATAAGATCTGAGAGGAACTGATTGCTACTTCACGCTTCTTTGCCCCAATCCAGTCTTTGAATCTATCACTGGTTGTGCGTTACTTTTGGAGCTACAGCTGCTGTCTTATGTATTTTTACTGACATTGACAGATTGTCCCTCTGTTATTTCATGGCTCTACGGTCTTATGTTCCCCTCAGTCCACCCAAAATGTCATTTTTCTTTCTTGACTTCCTTTCGGTGCTCCTTCTTAAAACAGATGGAAAGCTTTTTGCATCAGTTAAAATGTAAAAGACACATTGGATTATTGGAAGACTCTTTTTTTTGGGGGGGGGGAGGGGGCACATTTATGTTCCAAAAAGAGCCTTTACTAAAAACTCAGACACTGGAAATAAAGAGATTCAATCTTGTTAACATGATCTCACACTCGGAGTCCTCTCCAGCACTTGGAGTGTATTCCCCGCAGCGCTGTAATAGTGCTGGAGGTTTGTGTGAAGAGGCTTTTCAGTAGAAGTGAAATAGGCTTCAATGTGTGTGTGTGCGGCCTGTGTGTGTGCGTGTGTATGTGTGTGTGTGTCACTTGGACTTTTGCCTCGGCAGGCTGAAATACGACCTGCTCAGAATTCAATCCCTGCACCAGCACTCGCAATCATCTCAGCCATTCGTTTAACTCCAACTCTCTTTCTCGCTCCCTGTCATGGGCTTTCCCCTGCTCCTGAACACACACACACACAAACACACACACACACCACCTTCCCCTCTTTGTGTCCCCGCTGAACTCCTCAGTAGAAAAGTGTTATTACATTAAGAAAACGGAGAGCACTTAGAGGAACACTGGACGACATGGTCTTCGCTATGCTGGCTAACACTTTAACGTATCACAGCTAATATTTCCAGCACAGATTGTGTAATGGATTGACTCATTTTATGATGAATGCAGGTGGTCCGTTCAGTTTGCTGCCAAATGTAGCTACAGCTCACTTATCTTGGGAGATGCCTCGAAATGCAGCAGGATGGAGAGAGAATCATAAAACTAAGTATCACAAAATGAATCAAGTTTATGAGATTGAGACCCAGAGAAGTTATCAGGCATTAAACTGTATCGACAACTTATAAAAGTGGTTGGCGTATTCAGGCGTATTTAAAGACACAGATTGATATTTTGGAACAAGATGCTTATTTTCTTTCTTGATAGCTATAGATTGAAGGGTTTGCTGTAAAGTCATGTCATGTGATATTGTAGCCAGATTTGGTTAGTTTATCTTAGCATAATGACTGGAAGAGGGGGAAACTAGCGTAGCTTTCCTAAAGGTATAACAACAAAGCTGATTCATTGACTTGTTATGTCTTGTTGGTTTAATACACACAATAATTTGCAACTTTTGCCGACATTTTGTTTTAATGCACAAGACTTCACCTCGTCTACATGGAGCTAACAGATAATAGTGGAGTGGTTATTGAGCTCTGGAGGTGTTGGTAGAGACATTTTGTCCTTTTTGTATTGTCATAAACTGGCTCGTGGGTAATGGCAAAAGACAAGAGGAGTCCGAATTTTACCAAAGAAAATGGAAAAATGTATTTGAAAACGAGTTATATAAGTTAATAATAGGAGATATGGGGTGTGTTAAATCTGTGTTGTAGAGTGCACTAACATAAGACCTAAAGCAACAATGGTGCAAAAGTCAGCCAGGCTTAGGAAGAGAGAGCGAGAGAGGCACAGGAAGTTTGGCTTTTATATCCAGGGTGGAGCAATGGGCCCAGGTGCTTCAGGTCTAGCAGGATATAACATCTCCATGGCAACTCAAATACAAAAAGACAAGACATGCACATGATCACACACATACAGTACATGCACACCCTCTAAGCAGGGGACGACAGTACGCATCAGGCTAGTTGCTTTATGCTACCATATGTTAGCCAGCTGCTGTCTACCGTTATATTGTAGCAAATTTCATAGCAGAGACACAAGAAGAAACAGGGGACACAACTATTTTGAAATGCAACTATTTAGTGTAGCTAGTTCCATGAAATGCAACAGTCTCTTTGGTTATGATCAGAACTAAAGAACAGATTTACATTCAGTGCATAAAACATCCTCAGAATACAGACTTTGACAACAGAAACAACAGGTTAATAGGTTTTATAAAATAAAAAACACATCTAGTCCAGCACAAAGCATTGTGGGAAACGGGTCATGATAGCCATATAAAATCATATTTACCATACAGGCATTAGTGATGCTGATCCTCTTATCAAACTCTCTGCAAGGTATTTATAAGACGTGCATTCCCAAAATACCAGTTTCAATGCTCACCCTGAGTGGATGAATCACAGATTCTTTACATGGATATTATCTTCTACCAGCAGCAGGGCAACACAGAAACCAAAAAGTCTCCGAGTACAATCATATAGCCTTGAACAATGTAAATGTAAAAACATAGCTGCAGTCTCCATCAAGCGTATGTCCATTTGAACAAGAAAGGGAGAGAAATTTAACTCAAAGTGTGAGCTCAGGTTTACAACTCAAAGTATGATTAAACCTAAAAAGAAGCTGTGATGCTGATGAGTGAGTTACCATCCAGATACCTTTTGGATGTGACTGCAGTTGATTAATAGTTAATCAATAAAGTAGTTGGTTTCAAATCGATGCTCCGCCCCACTTTGGAGAATTAAGGATTTCATCCACTTTCCTATTCCTGAGACTGAATGAACCCTTTTCTAGCTTAGTAAAGGGGTCTTAAGGATATTTTTGCAGATCTCTCTCTCTGTCCTGTGTTAGTGTAAGTGTGAAGTTGTTGATCTAATGAGTAGTAGATGTAATAAGGGGGGGTTTGGGTGGTGGAGGAAATAATCAAACAAGATGTACCTCTGGAGTAAGATTTAAAAAATGTAAAGTAATGAAAAACCAGCGACATGGAAAAGGTGCGTGCAGTTGTAAGAAAAAAAGAACTAAATCAGCACCTTTTTTTAATTACCCTGAAGACTGTGGTTGAATTGGGGTGCATCCACATGTGAGTCTAGTTTAGTTCACACAGTTTAGCTCCCTCTCTATATTAGCCTTTTCAGTGTGGTTCAGAGTGAGCTCACTAGGCTTTCATAGTAATCTCATCACAAACCGGTGGAGAGTATTTCTCATTCTTTGGAAGAGACAAAGAGAGAAAATATTTAACCATCAGGTCTCTGAAGACAAATCAAATTCCAGTTAAGACAGTTGTTTGAATAGCTCTTGTGTGAACAATCAACCAGAGACAGAGCGCAAACATTTCTCCGCTTGCCGTTCCACTCAAAGTCATCTCTTCCATTTGTTCCATTTGGAGATAAACTGACACGCATTAACTTTTACAAAGTAGAGACATGTTTCTTCTCTGTTACAAAGTTAGGCCTCAAAGATTGATTGAAACCAAGCGACAACCTCTGCTCTTGAAAAATGAAGTTGATGTGGAAGTGCAAAATCCTGCAGATCGTAGAGAGTCCACTTGAGGCTGCCTCCAGGAGCTCCGGGAGTCACATAAACACCATAGCCCAAAAAAGCAGTTTCTACAGCAGAAATTAACATGTTTACAGTCTGGTACAAAAAATGAAAGCATGGCGGCTGCTGCCGATGATCCTCCTGAGCCCCCTGCTGTAACAGAATGCTGACGTCACTCAGGCTTTGTCCATTTATATTTACACTCTATGATTGAAACTGAGCTTAAAATGACAATCCAAGA